GGTCTTCTGGGTCACTGACTCGGAAGCGCCTTTGGATAAGAAACTTTGTGTCCGTCTTGACAGGTGTGGTGAGGCGATGAGTTGCATAAGTCACTATGACTTCGAACTTATCGTTAACCTCGACGTCGTCGTCTGGGCAGGCAATATACTCATTGTCGCCGACTTCGACGTCGATAACGTCCTGTTCCCCATCACTGATGAGGGCAGAATCGTCATCAGGCAGGGTCGCAGGATGGACGCTGTCCATCTCACTTTCCCCGCACTTCAGGAGCGAAGGTGAGGCCTTCTGGACACTGTCCAGCTTGCGATCACCTTCACTTGATGGCAGCTTGTTTTCAGGGACACTGTCCTTGCAGCCGCTGCCATCCCCATCCGACCCATCATCCAGGCCACAGGCCCGGCGACGTTTGATCGGACGAGAGGTAGCTGGAATTGGTGCCTTGACCTCATCCTGCTTCCTCTTGAAGTAGTTTTTGATGCTGGGTTGGTCCTTAACCTTTTGGCCTTTCTGGCCTTGCTAGAGGACGGCATTGTGAGATTAGAATTGGGAGACTTACCTTTCTAACAAAGTTAAAAAAAAAAAACTATTGTTGGAGTGTGCGGTATGGTGAGGGGAGAGGTAAAACTACGGCTTTCGAGATTCTACTAAGTCTGTCCATTGCCAGTCCATTTTGGGACTAGGTGTGTCCCATGACTGCCAAGGTCTTATCGACTCACCTTTCTATGCTCTCGTAGTGTCTCCTTTTTGTTTCAATTACGACCTCTGAGTATTCCCATTGAGACGCGGACGCGTACCTGCTCAGAGTTTATTGGTATCTGATCGGGTGCCGTGCTTCTGAACCGTTTGGATTCTGTCCAGAAGAAGACGAAGAAGAAGACATCCCTATCCGCTTATGAACGCTCACCAGCTCGGACTTCAAGTGTATTTGACTAACAATTTCAGAATGAGTGGACAAGGACTTGACGGACAGATATGCATGACAATAGCAGGGTTATAAAGACTATTGACAAGTATTCCCTCGTTCTTCATATCTTACTTGGTGAGCATTTACTGACTTTAGAATATTTCTTGAAGCAAGTTAGAGAAAAATCTGCAGACACACAAGAAGACATCAGATAAAACCCGTTTCTCCTGAAGGTGGCAGTCATCGACAACAAGACAGGAAAAAGCACATCGGAAGGCTTGCCCCACGAACAACCAGTGATTTTTGTTATACTGCAGGGGATAAGCTCGCGCAGGTCCGAGGTGCTTGGCAGAGAACCGTGACCAGCTAAGAAATCCAATTATCCAGTTATTCTGTAATTACTAATTTAGGCTTTAAAACAGAGCAAATAGTTTATATAAAGTATCAACTACCCGAGTACAACCGGACGGTTGTGTATTCTTTACCCGTTCGTGCGGCGATCTTATGAAGCATCTGATTGCGCAGCCCTACGAAGCCGGAGCACGCTAGTAGAACGTGCTTCGGGGTCTGGGACCCCTGCCCGCAGCTGCAAAGGTCACTCTCCTGCGCCTTGAGTTTGTAGAGGATATGGGCTAGGCCGATCCGCTGCGTGCGCCTCTGCATGATCACGGACGCGTACGCCTTTGGCAGACCCTCGTAGAGCGCGAGGATCTCCTTCGAGGGGGCCTTTACCAGGCGCCTCGTGGGCGCTGCCGTACGATCGCCTGCAGTGTATTTGCCGTCGGCATAAGCCACTTGAAATGGCTTGGTCAATGGCGTCAGCTTAGTAGCTCCCTCTCTAAGACTACCTATCGCCTTGAGGCATTTCCGGTATGTAGGCATGCGACCAGGGTCTCGGTTGAACCCGAACATTAGACCAGAAAGGCCTTTTCATCCCCATTGTCACCCTAAGTAGGATAACGCGAGCAAACTCAGGCTACACAGCATCATGCTGCTTCGTGGCGTGTTTGTGGACAGCTGCAAAAGTTTTTGGCTTAATATGTTGCATTGATACGTCGGTCCAGTGCATGCCGTACGTATTTGGCGAAGCCATTTGGAGGGCAGACCCAGGAACTGTACGAGCTCTGGGCTGCCCTGCGCCTGCTCTTTGCGCCTCGATCCTTTCGAAGTAGCGAAGTATATCCTCCAAAACCTTTCCGGGACGGCAGGCGCACGATGAACCTGACTCCTCAAAAGAAAAAGGTTGGCTCGTGTAGCTGTTGTCGATTCCCTGGAGGAGACGGGCCCATAGGGCGATAAAGATTGTTTGCGGCTCATGCAGAGCCATTCAACAGCATTCAGCTCTTTTTTGCATACCTGTCTTGCTGCTGTTGATATATTAGATATTTTTTCTATGTCAAATCGGACTTCAGTACAATATATAGGACCATCCTCACCTTCAAAAAGGCAATGGGATGTCTGTTATCTTGGAGATCGACTGCTTCAGTCGGTATGCTCTTGCAAAGGCAGTTTTCAAGGCCACGTTTCATAAAGCTATCGTTTAATGAAGACTGGCTATTGAAAAAGAATGATGCGTTAGCTTGTCTGAGTATTTGATGTGTGGGACGGGGAAGAGGTTCATCGGAACTTCTGTTGATTGTCTTACATGGACTTGTAAACACAAATAACACAAGGCAGGTGCTCAGGATGGTGGCTTCCATACTCAGCTCTATTCGACCAAGGTGGTTATTGCCGCATATAAATAAGCTTTCGTCAGAAGCATGACCTGATGCAGAGTGACCTCAAATGGAAGTCAAGCACTTCCTCGTGTACGTCGGTACAGTTAAGTGTCACGATCCCGCCTGGTGTACTTCAGGATTTATTCCGCTAGACTATCCAGTAAAAGACTAGAATTCTGAGTCAACAGACTCAGAACGCGCATCTCTTATAAGCTTCAATTCACTAAGTTCGTTGGTCATGTGACCAGTTGTCACAGTTAGTAGATAGATAGTCTTGCATCGGTAAAGTTCTACCATAGAATACTGAGTGTCTGTATACTTATGATAATTATTGAGTTTATAGATCACTGATGTCTTCCATCCAAGTGACCTCATGTTTAGATTTCCTCGTCCTCCGGCTACTAGTACTTTGTAATCATCAAAGCCTAGTCTTCATTTTGCATGGCTATCGAATTCTATAAACACCCAGAAAATCGTAGCAAATCCCCTCTTAACTTTTTCCCCTAATGACAGCCTTGTGGTTCGCCGGTTTATGATAGGGGGGGGTGTAATCTGAATTTTCCATGATCAAGGATTTGGGTATCTGAGGAAACCCATCAAGTCCACCGGGATGTGCTTGCTCGAAGTGAACACTCAACACAGTTGTAGTGACTGCCCTGCGAATATCTTCTTAGACGATGTCAAGAGTTGCTCTTTCTGGAAGGTCACGAGGTGACTCGTTTCCTCTCCTCTTCTTATCCCCATTTATGTAGTTCATCATACTTTACCCCAACCTGTCATCTCATTCTCCCATCTCCGTGAATATGGGCACTTATGGTTTACAATCTTACTGTCTCTCTGAAAAAAGGTAAGAGTGAAGCTATCACCGATTTTGGATTCCTTGAATGACCACAGCCTCATGCCCATCGCTGACACTTACAATGTCAACTCTTCTCAGCCAAAAGCTTCCTTTTCGACGTCTGCGGACTTCACACCCTCGCGGATCAAACCTTCGAGGAAGAAGAATTCTGGTACTTTCTGGCGGAATAACTATGAAGCTTATGGGTACCCATTGGTGGAAGCAGAACGAAACAGCAATCTTGTTAATGGCCGGGGGTCCCATCCCAGAGCCCCCTCCAACTGCCCGGCGCTGCCGGACCTGTCAGTGGGGGCGGTTTATAATGCAAACCTAGCCAAGGATGGGCTGACGCTCAGCGACTCGTAGCAACAATTCAATTCAAAAGGGAATCAAAGACACATCAAGCCAAGCTTTGGATATCCATACGAGCAAGCGTCGGACTAAGCTGGAAGGAAACACTGCGCTCTTCAGTCCGGACGGGGGATTCTTGATATGCTCACCCAGGTTGAATTTAGTAAGACCACAGAAAGGCATTTTTCGGGGATTATAGTCTGATAACACAGATATAAAGCCTTAACACAACCCACTGGGTCACTCGGACAGTGTTCTGTGGGCAGGAATAAGTCCAGATTCTGCCTGATCTTGCCCCGTCCAGCTGACAGGATCGACTGTGAGCACTAATATGAAATATTGATTGTCTTTATGTGATAGTAATGGAGTTTATAGATCGCTGGCGTCTTAGAAGATGCCGGCGTGAGCATCCCCAAGGGAGGTCCTGCCTTCGACGCGAACACATGCCCACTCCCCCATCAAACATAGATTGATACGAACGCCTCAGCTCGAGGCACGTACCAGATATGGTGGTCTCCCCACCCTCCACCCCTTCTTCTTTATTTCTCTATTGCTAAAGCCACTGACAAGTTGTATATAGATTCTGTGTCCATGAATTGGAATTTGGTGGTGATTCAGAAAGCGATTGGAAGCCCTATTAAACAACAGAGCTATGAAGTCGCCACCGCATAAGTACTCCTGATTGAGAACATACCGTCAAACGATTTATAGGCAGACGCTTGTCATCCCATGTACAAGACGAGGTATCCGCTCTGTGCGACTATCTCCATTGGCATGGAGAGTTTGAAGACTATTTCATTTTTTGTCGCCCCAATACCTTGAACATGGAAATGTCTTCAATATGAATTCCACATATGCACATCAACCTCACTTCTCCGAGCGGCCAGCAACACATCGTTTTGGTCTACTTGACAAGGCAATTGCTCTATTATATCGTACCGCAACCAGATTTGATACAGCCGTAGTAAATTGCGACATAGTATAGAATGCATACCCAAGATTGTACATAAGATGGCTGCAGTTCGCATGCTTAGTCCATATTGGAACTTCTAAGGCCAATAAAATTGATGGTAAGCGGGAGAGGTTTGGGATAAAGTCTGGAATGATCGCTTACTACATTTGTTGGGACAATCACCGAACCAGGCCATCGGATCTTTCCTCCTCCCTGAAGCATCATCACCTCCCCCTCTAAGGCTCCTCCGTCTTCCCCCTCGGGGCGCCCTGTGCCGTATTCTGCGAGTTATGGCTCTGCATCGAGAGTGCAGAATGGTTATGCTTGTCTCTATCGCTGAATTGTCCGTTCAGCAGGATTGGTCTCTCGAGAGACGCATAATCGCGCGGCGGAATTCCCCCAGCGCGCCACCGAGGACCCGGTGATTGTCTTTTCAATTTGGTGTAAAAGGTCCAGAATGACGCCAGGCAAGCCATCATGATCGCTGTTCGCATAGTCAGATATCGTTCCCCATGTTTCAAGTCAACTGTATTTTCGAGAAGACTTACCAACACAGATCTCGATCGCGTTCCAGAAGACCAGCCAGGCAGGGCTTAGGATCCCCGTTCCTGAGACACTCAGCTCAAGTCGCACCAGCGCTATGATGATGATAAACGCCGTTAGAAAACTGACACCGATCAAGGCGAGCTTTCTCGAATGTCAATTTTAACTCTCCACATGACGTGACCAGAGAGAATGATAACTATATAACGAAGAGATGATTAGACTGAAGTAAATGCGAGGGTGTTGGAAGGACGTACTAGCTGCATCAGATACAATATCCATACTCGTCGAGACCTTTAGGCTTACCCGTTCATACCAGATCGAATACGCACTCGCACAAGCCTCTGTCACAGCGCGGTTAACTTTAGCACTACTAGGAGGAAAAGAAGAATGGAACTGACCAATGCTATCCTCAAAAGAAGCCATCTCACATGCATAGTCCAGGACACCCAGTGTACCCCCATAGCAGGCGATAACAAACGCCAAGACCACCCACCAGAGGATGCGTTGTGCACGGAAACGATTTCCCAGATGTCGGAAGAAGAATATGAAGGACAGCTTGACCGACCACAGACTAGTATACGAGAGGAGGTATCCGGCGAGCTGCCCGCGCAGGTATCGCACCTCGATGGCCGCAATGTTCTCTGGCAAGTTGGAGTAATCGATTGATCCTGTGGTAAGGGTTGTTATGTAGAACATCTGCTTATAGCATACCGACCACACGATGCAATTGGCAAGAGATAGCACCCAGGCCATTAAGATCAAGACATCGTGTGTGTGCCATTTCCGGTCGACAAGATATTGGAGGAGCAGCCGAATAAGGACGAAGAAGAACGTGATTGTCTGACAGACCCAAAGCACGGCCTTGTGGGGGAGAAATAGTAGTCAGCCAAGCTTGAGGAAAGGAAAAAGCTTCAGGCTAAGGCGGGAGGTGTTCCTTCAGACATACCACAAATGTAGCCTCATCGATATAGTTATTCGCCATGGCACTTCAAAGTATACGCCTCCGGGGGATACGAGATCCAACGCAGCTTCTTCGCAGTGGACTGCGACGGGAATGGAGGGGCAGACATAGCTGAATATACTATACGTCCGGAGACGCAGTGGTGGTCAGCCTTGCTCACAGCATTCCATCCTTATGCAAGTAATGAGCGATGTATGCAGCTGTAAAGGCTTCGCTGCACCGCCCCATGCATTCCGATACTGCAACAGTCGCCCGGATTGTAAGCATCGGCACGCCGTGTGTAATACTTTTGCGGATGTAAGCGCGCCAACCTCCAAGGGTATATTGCACTGCGGGCTATGAATAGCTGAGAGACAATCATTGGCAGTGTAAGAATTCTTGAGCTTACACATAGCAAGGGAGGCGGAGCGACGAGTAAGCATTGTCGGGGTAGATGCATAGCGGGATAGTGTTCGTTTCGAAAATTACAAGCACCTAACCAGCTCATCAGCCGTCATACACTATCTGTACTGAAGTACAAGGCTGTCTCACTATAATAGTGTTAGGCTGTTGTCTATCGAGATCGGAGCTTGTAAGCACTAACAACCGAGCCCCTCTTTTGTGTTGACTACAAGCCATACCATGGAGAAATTGGCATGATGGGAACTAAATTGTCAGACTTTCCTTATTCTGCCTTACAAAACAGTGATTTGGCCTCGAGCGCACTTGCAAGCAGCGGAGCACTTGACTACTTTCTGACAGGGTATGGGTGGATTGGCGGGAGGGAGGGGGCGCAAAAAGATCGGCATTAGATGAGCCATAACGAGAAGTGTCGATGCACGTTTGGTCATTCTTGCTTATCTGACACTGTTCTGTCCTTGATTGGCCTTCACTATGAGACATCCCTTGAATGTCATGTTAGAGCGCATCGATCAGCAGTTTACAGAGGAGCGCTATGAATACGAGTAGTCGAAATAAGTAGAGTGCAATTGAAGTGTGAGAATTCTGGTTTATGGAATCATCTTATACCTATTTCTCCTATTCACTCGACTTAAAGTAGTTCTAGTAGATAAAGGTCACATTATGTTACACTTCATGTCCAATGAGAGGCCAGTCTAGTAAACCTTCTCGAGCTACTTTCCCTCCTCCAAGTCATTATTCTGCTTTTCAGTTGTCGCTTTTTCATTCTCGTCCCCATTTGCGGCCTCTTTCGCCAATTTTTTGCTCGCCGCCTCTTTCTTGACGTTGCGCCATTCCATGGCCAGAGCGAATGGGACCGCCAGACATGCGGCCGCAAGCCCAAAGTCCATTACCGCCCGAATTCCATAAGCATAAGCACCTTGCAGCGCGCGGAGGATGGTCGCATCAGTGGTGAGCGACCGTAGGCCGGTCGGACCAGCGGCGATGACGGTCTCTGCAGCAATGGGAAGATGAGATGTGCGGACTTGGTGCGCGACGCTCGTTTCGAAAATGCTTTCTCCGATGGCGACGGCTATGGCGCTGATGTTCGGTACATTTGTGAGCATTCATTAAATGAATCATCTGCACGGTGAAATAGAACTTACGCGCCGAGTTGGGAGAAGAAAACAGTGATTGCTTGAGGTCGGGTTGGTCAGCGCGAGCGATTTACTGGCACCGAAGAGATACTGCCACTTACCATTACCAATTGGTATATCGTCGTCACTGTGAGAGCATAAGAGTCAGCGATATCTAGAGGGATGGTTGTGCTGTCTGACTTTAGAACGACTTGGACTGCTGTGAAAGGCATCTGTAATCCCAAACCATGTCCGACTCCGGCGATGACGAGAAATGTCGCCCATAATGCAGTCGAAGTGCCGACTTCGAGCTTGGTCAAGCAGGCGGTGCCTATGATAGAGATGACTTGGCCCAGGACCATGAATGGAACCTGGCAGTGGACCTTGGGTCAGCGCTCATAAATTATGCAAGTCAGGAAATTTGGTAACTCACGTAATGCCCTGTGATTGACACAATGGCGCCTGTAAGGACAACGCCAGCAATTTGAGAAACGCCCAGAGGAATTCCCCGGACACCACTAACTGTTGGGGAAACAAGTTGGGCGGATTGGAAGTAGAATGGGATATAGTAGAGTGTCTGTATACATAATGAGTTGAATACCAGAAGATTGTATTTCAGGCTGGAAGCTTACAACGTAGATGCTGATCTCTAGGAAAAATGAATACAGAGCACCCATCAGCACAGAGCGCTGGCGCGCAACTCGAAGGGGAACGGTGCTACGCTCCCCTTGATACCATTGTGAGAGAAAAAAGGCGATCAAAAGCAGGCCTGCGCCAACAAACAGACCGATCACCTTGGACGAGCGCCATTTGCTAGAACTGCTGCCAAATTGCATGGCGAGTATGAAACAGGACACCCAGGCGATAGTCAAAGTAATTCCAATATAATCGAAGGATCGGAGGCGCGCGAGGATCGAGTCTGCTGGTTTTCCTCGACGGTCCTGAAGCTTGAGGAAGAATAATACCAGGATGATTGCCACGCCACCGATGGGTAGGTTGCTGGGCGATTGAGCTACGGTCAGTCAAGATCAATAAGTAGATGAAGAGCCCTACATCCAAAAACACCAGCGCCAGGTCACATGTTGTGTAAGAATACCTCCCAGTGGTGGTCCCAAACATGCAGCGATACCGAACACGCTCAGCACTATTCCCAGGTACATCGGCCGTTGCTCTAACGGGACGCTCAGCCCAACGATGCTGAGAGCGCCTTGATATAGACCAGCAGCACCAACCCCCGTGATCGCTCGACCGACAATAAAGGCCGTGGAGCTCGGACTAGCAGCGCATAGCACGGATCCCGCTTCTAGGTCAACATGGTAACTCAGATGTGAACTGTTCAGTAGACTTACCTTCAAACAGAACGGCGACACTAAGATAAGTTGCCTTTGCATCGAAGAGCTGGAACACATTGCCAAAGGCGGGTTGAAACGCTGTGACCGTCAAAAGATAGGCTGAGCCATACCAACCCACATCATCAAAGGCTTGGAATGTAGTGGAGATACTGGGCACAGCGACACTGATGATTGTAGTATCGAGAGCAACCAGAAAAGTTCCACAACACAAAGACACAATAACGATTGCTAGCCGCCATGTCTCCGTTGGTGTTGTAGCCTGGTTTATTGAACCTTCAGATTGAATGGAGTCGGTTTCCTCCATCGATATCTGAGCTGTAGGTGGCTTTGCTGTGTCAACAGCCATCTTTGGGAGTCGACCGGTAGCTCGCGATAGTATGCAAGGTAAGAGGACCAGGAGTCACGAGAAACAAGAGGCGATCAAGACGCCCAACTTAACATACATAGCAACAGGGGTATTAGCCTGTGTTAGGCTGACAGGCCACTTACTGTACGACTCAAAAAGCATCTTGGACACGAGTCATGCATGCAAGGAGCAATGGGCGTTGCAGGCACGCGGGAGTGTCTCGGACTTAGTCGGGATTTTAACTACAAACCTTTCTGATCCCCCTGCGATAAGCGGTAAATACAATATCGAGAATACATACAAATTTACTAGTACCAAAATCACTTTGAAAATACCAAATACTACCTCACCACACATATTTTGGGGCTGAAACCACAACCCGCATCCCCTTTATGCATCAACACCATAGGCAACCTGATTAACTATAGCTCATTGCCGACCGTGGCTGCACCAGATCGCATTATTTGCCTTGTAACATTCCAACAACGCTCACGGGGACCACCGAGTCATTGAGACCAGCGTTGGATCGATACAGCATCGGATAGAGATACGCAGGAAACGACCAGACCAAAAAGCTTCCGACCCAGAGAAATCCAAATATCCGTTCACCGCGGGACGCCGTCCAGTTGCGGGACGGCCCGCCACCACGAAGTATAACAGAGTAGGCATTGACGGCCAGATCTTCCAGCATTAATCCGAAGGCCTGCGTGCAAAAGAACTGTACAGCCCCGGAGCTAGAGGGCGATAGCCCCGACGACAGGTCGATGAGCAAGTGCATGAAAGCTGAGGTTGCAAACACCATCACGACCTTGGCATATCGGTCGGCAAGCGTCCCTGGCTGGAAGCGGAAGATATCGCGTGAGAAATATCGAGAGATCATACGGAATTTGTGGGAATTTGATTGGTGCCACACGCGACTATGCCGGTATTAGTCAATACCGAAAAAGAAAAGAACAGGGGGTGTTTACCTCCAAAGTCTTCGCAGACTATACGCATCCGACAAGGCTCCATAGAATGGAGGCCAGTCCTGCGGCTTACTCCACCTCGCAAGAACGCTGGTGAATGCGAAGAGATAATAGAAACCACCCTGACTGGCCAATAAGCCTATGCCAGCCGCAATGCCCGAGAAGACTCGAATGACGATCTCTTCCGTAGTGATTTCAGAAATTCTCCGAAACAGCGGCACCCGAGATGTAATGAGGAAGCGAGATCCCACCTCAGGATCGCCCATCGAGCCGAGCACATCGAGGCCCAGGTAACTGAGGAGGATAATTCCCGCAGATCGACGGAGGAATGCGGCTCGGTCGCAGGTGACCGCTTCAGGAATGTGGTGCACCTGCTCAGGCGTTCCAATGCATCGCGCATTGAAGGCCGCCCAGATACCAAACCGTACACGGGCCACCCAGGTCGAAGTTAGCGTCTTGGGCGACTTCGTCGGGGAGAGGTCGACAAATTCCCACTGTGTCAACAGCCCTATGTCGACATAATGGAGCAGTAACATGACCGAATAACCGCCTGCGAGGCTGGCCCATGGTGTCCGAACGAAGTATCCCAAGGAGGTGGAGATGCAATGGCCAGTGCATAGTGCGACAATCACCAATGCGCCAGGCCTCAGGCTTGACAGGGCCGGGGTGAATCCCAGAGTGGTCACCACCACGGCAGTCTGGAGAGCAATTGTTGAGAAAGGATTCAAGGGCATTCTCTATACTCTAATGCTGGTCTTTGGGAGGGGGGGGGTTGCAGCTGTCGCAAAGTAATAGCAAATAGCGGCAAAGCAGGGAGGTAATGAATGTATTGTAGGTCAAGGGAGGATCAGATCTTGTGAAAAGGGGGGGGGTAGAAGCTGGCAATGTATCTTTGGCCCAACCAAACAAAGAAGCAGGGATTATTGGACACTTATTGGCCGAAAGTTAGGGCAAATGACTGAGCAAGGGGGAAACCCTTGCAGCTGGCTCATCCTGGTCCCATCTACATGGTGATCGTGGGTAGTCACAGCCTTCTTTCAATGCAAAAATTTTGAAAGAAAGCAATGTACCCGGTAAGACTTGCGTTACAAGTGTCAATGGCCTGGACACCGTTTTTGCATGACGACGTCTCGTTCATTTCGCTTAGTGCTTACTCCAGACCCCACCTGTCGATCAATTACCCTACCCGTCTCACCTCATATGGTAATTTATAGATTCATCGTCTTGAATGAGACTTGAGACTTATCCCAGTGCAAATGGATAATAGCCCGATCTGAGTATCTGAAACACTCTGCACACCTTGAATGCTGTAAATCATACTTTCGATTTCGCCCCCACTCCTCTTCCAAGTTTCTACACCTGATTACTATCGGTAAGAGGGTGCTTCTCTAAGCCTTAGTGATAATCCATGGTTTCCCTACATAATCTCTCCAGCCAGACTTTTCTGAGGGCTGTGTGCTGCTGATGGAAGCAATGATGCAATGGTGGGAAATTTTGGTCAGATGAAGCCTACAAGGCATCCACTGTTGCCGTCAGATGTGTCCTCGTAGTTTGCTTACCTTGACTCGTAAGATATCGCTGGGTGAGATTTGACGATCGTGATACTATCAGTGGTGACAAGTATATTACTCGTGGTTGCTTAGGGGCCAAGTGGTCAGGGAGGATAGTGCTAGCTGGGGAGAAGCAGGTTGTAAGATATATAAGCATCTCTGCAAGTACACACGGAACTGTCCAAGTTGAGCTTGACTTCCAACGGCACGAGAATTAGCATCAGCTCTGACTATGCTTGCGGATATGATTTATAGCAGCAGCCTGGCACTATGCCAGATGCTGGATACCAGGCGCACGTCTTACATTGTGGCGACCCTGTGGATTATTTGGCAGCTGATCAAGCTGCTAAAGATGTATAGCAAGCGCCCGGTATGCATGAATATCTCCCTCGCTTTATACAGCTTTAGTACGCGATCCAAAATCATCTTCACAAGCTAATGTCTTCAACCAATAACAGCTCAACACTTACATCGGGGGTACATCTATTTTATTGTTCGGAAAGTGGTTCACCAGTCTCGAGTTTGTGGTCGATGGGGCAGGTACGGTCTTCAGTCTCTATCAGAGAGTACGCAACTCCATTTCTACTGATCTGCTCTGAGATATCCAACTAACCGCAAGCAGTTGGGACGTGATAAGTCCTTCGCGATTCCCGCTCTCAACGAGTATCAGGTATTAGTCTCTTCCGAGCAAAAGGTCCGGGAGCTGGGGGAGAGCGCGGAGAGCGTGCATTCATTCCACACGGCCATGGAACAGGTATGGACAATTTTGACGTACCTAATTTTACTGTGTCTGACAGCTCTATAGAGGATTCAGCACAAATACACCTTGTTTGGCTTCCAGCACAACGATATAGATCCGAATAACGATATTGCTAAGCGTGTTATCAAGGTCCTGCTTCGCATTAATTTACCTCAGATGCAGCAAGGCCTACAACCATTGATCAAAGATCTGTTTAAGCAAGAGCTGACAGATAGAGACTTGGATGGTACGTACACTTTAGTCATGATGATAAAAAATGGCCATATCTGATCCTGTCAACAGGTTGGAGTCAAGCAAGTGGATTTACCCTAGCTAAGCACCTTGTTACACGAATCAACAATTACGTTCTCTTGGGTGGGAAGCTGGGTGAGAAATATGCCATACACCACTTTCTAGCAAGCTATAACCTAACGAGCCTTTAGCTAGCGATCCAGCTTTCGAAGATGCTGTCAATCGGTACCTTCAAGACGTCGTGGTAACCATGGAACTATGTCGCCACCTCCCATCATTCCTAGTTCCGTGAGTACTGCTCGGTTGCATATCCCACGTAATATACTGATTTTCCAAGATTGGTGGCACCAGCCATGATGCGTTGGGGTGGAGCTATGCATTTCATCGGTCGCGCTGTTACTGCCGAGGTAGAAGATCGAGTTAAGAGCAACAGCACATCCCAGGATCCCTCACCGGTGTGTCAAGAAGCTCTCTCTCTTATCGTTTCGGGACTAACTTACCTATCGTAATAGTGTGACGGCATGCAGTGGGTAATAGATTCATCCAAAACTCCAGAACAACGAACAGTATCTCGACTGGCCCAACAAATAATCGCTATTCTCTTTGCCTCCGTGCATCAAATGGCCGCAGTTAGTATACCAGCCCATACTATACCGTCCCAAGGCTAATCAGCCAACAGGCTCTGGTTTACGCCATGTATGACTTGTGTCTCCATCCGGAGTTCATCGAGCCGCTCCGCGAGGAAATCAAGAATGCGCGAAGCGTGACCAGCTATGAAGATCATTTTGATCGGTTGCCTTTGATGGACAGCTTCCTACGGGAGTCTGCCCGACTCAGTCCATTAGATGCCTGTGAGATTCCCACATATATCACGCGCAATTTACTTCAAGCCTGATAACTAAACCCCGTTCTTTGACAGTGTCAATTCAACGGGTGGCTCTATCACCCTACACGTTCGCAGACGGCACGCATGTCCCAACTGGAAACCTTGTTGCCGTTCCTCAAGAGGCGATTATGCAAGACCCGGAGCATTATCCAGATCCGAAGAAATTCGATCCATATCGGTTTCTGGCGGTAGATGAAACGGATGGTTCGGTGAGAGCTTTTCCAAAGTATACAGACGTGCATTGGAACTATCCATTCTGGGGTTCGGCGAAAAAAGCATGGTAAGCATCGCAAGTTATTCAGACAATTTATCTGTAGCTGATAGGCCATGATCACAGTCCCGGTCGCTGGTTTGTCTCGAGGACATTGAAACAAGTTCTCAGCCATGTGATTATGAAGTACGATGTCAAGCTGGCGGATGAGAATGCACCACGAACCTTTGTATGGACCACGGCTATTGTGCCTCGATCTAGTACAAGGTTGATGTTGCGAGCGCGAAAGTGACTTTCATTTCTACAATCATTGCATTATATACGAATAACGATTTCGAACATACTCATCGTCACCATACTCTTAACCATAGATAAACGCAATATACGATACCCATCACTCTTGTCCCCATCAAAGTACTAACTAGCAACAAAGCGTAACCTCCACCAAAGCAGCAAACCTTCCTTAATCTACTACTAACCCCTCAATCAAACCTCACAACCTCCATCCCCATCACCAGCTCCTTCAACTCCCCCTCCGCAGGATACCTCTCCACAAGCCCTCTCAACTCCACCTCAATCCCAGCCCACACCAACTCATCAACGCCCGTTTTCCTCCTAGAATACAAACTTATCCCCGCCGGCGTGAACATCGACTTATTAGTAAAGACAAGCAGCCACTCGTCATTGTCTGCTCCGCCCCATCCCAGAATCTCCCACTGCGCACTCACCATCCGCAGCCATCCGCTCCCCCGCCACTCCATCTGAATCGGACCATGCTCTTTTCCGGCTGATATAGCTCGGTCCGTTCCGGTTGTGATCTTTACTGAGGAAGAGGATAGCGTTTGGTAGGATGTCTTGTTTGTGAGGATGGGGGCGGGTGAGGTTGTAGTGGCTTGGGAGAGCGCGCTTAGGGGTAGAGTGCCTGGTGGTGTATTGGTGGTGGTGTCGGCGGTTAGTGTGATTGTGGGGTTGCGTTTGTCGCTCCAGAAGGGACTGGAGGATCGTGTGATGTACCAGGTTCCGAGGATGTTGGTGGTTGTTGATGGCGGTGGTGGATGTTCATGGCTGGGGTGGTGGTGGTGGTGGTGGTATTTTTGGGGAGCATGGATCATGATGGGGTTTGGTATATGGAGGTTGAGGGAACTTTGGGGGGTGGTAGTATCTAGAGTGTAGGGATACGGAATTATGGATTGGTTGCATTGAAAGCAGAGGGAATAGATGAGTATTTATATTACTACTACTGGAAAGGATACCTACATACCATGCACTCAGGCTCTTATGTAGTCAACATATTGACAGGTATGGATAGGATAAGCCTAGCCTGTTACCTGCAGTATATGCGGGTTTGAAAAATACGTACTGTTTTACCCTCTCACTCAATGTCGTGCCGGTATGCATACGGTATGGACCCGATTCATGTTTCTCCACTCTATCCACATCCCTGCTTCGATGATGACTCTCGGCTTGCAATGGCCCCGGCAGGCTGATGATGATGATGGCGTTGTTCTACCACAGGAACATAGATTAGCTCCAAACGACAAGGCAAGTAATATGTGCTTGATTTCCGTGAGTCTAAGTCCCACAGTTTCTCTAATAATATTTCTCGAGGAGCTGCTAGCTATTTACTACCATCAGGATGAATCTGCTCACCGCAGTATTGAACTCCCTTCAACGTTTATAAGATGGGCCCCCACCGTAGTGCCTCTTGATAACTCTGGCCTCTCAGGCTTATGACCCATAAACCAGCTCCAAAGACACGTTGTCCATGAGACTAGGACCTGTGTCGTGCAATTGCATCCTATCTCACTTATCCGAAGATTCTGGTAACTGTGCGACTGAACGGAACTCGATGCAGGGGGGTCTGTCTTCGCGTGTGGTGCACTAGAGTGTGTAGAAGCAAGCTCTGTGGTTTCCATAAGCTGAGCAAACTGATGATATGAGAGGACAGAAGTTGTACTTACCGCGTGTCAAAGAGTCAGAAGCTTCTTGCGCTGAAGCAAGCGAGACATTATTACAGTCTTCAGAAGACACTGTGGGTTGAGACAGAATGAGTCTAAATATTGAAGGATCCATTGTATCCAGTCGTCACGTGAAACAGTTAATCAGCAAGTACAGAAATTGAGGCTTTAATGAAGAAATCTGATCTGGCAGACTAGTATTGAACCTGAGTAGAATATCATTAGAGAGCTGAGAGGGGGGTCGAGGTCACTTAACCTAGCTAGTCTGCATGAGAACCCATATGAACAACTAGACATCACAAGACCGAATTAATCTTGGCTTACCTTATTATCTCTACGTGTCATGGGTTGAATAAAAGACACGATCATAACACCGATACTGCAGCAGAAGCCTCCGCCATTAGTTCCGACTAAGTGAGAAGACGCATGATGTACAATAAACGAGCGCTTCAGAAGGCCTATATAGATGCCAGTAAGGGCATATATGAAGAGGGAGACGAAAGCAATACCATGCTCCCTTAAACGGGCTTCAGATTGCGCTACCATCGACATCGGAACAGGGCGCATTGATGGCTAGGCCAAGCCATGTGTCTGAACGACAAATCACAAAGAATCAAGCCATATAACGGGCTATATCTACTCATGTAAATGAACAATATCATGGTTTATTCTATAATATACAAATCGATTAATACTCATTTATATCCATCTCCCTCTCTATTCTGATTTACATCCGGCATCGTCTCCGTGGTAATCTCCACCTGTACATCTTTGAATATCCTAACTCCACTATGCATACTTCCTCCGTTCTCGGCAAGCTCAATATCATCCTGTAGCTGCGTGAGACCCTCTTTTCGCCGGGCTCGGCTTCCACCAGTATAATCATAAGTGTAGCTGTGATAACGACGCGCAAGACTGCTGTTTTCACCGATCAAGCGAGGGGCGTAGCGGCGCAGGAAGTGGCGGAGGAAGGGGAGGCAGCTGCAGATGATGGCGAAGTTGGCTTCGATGTTGCTGCAACGCAGTTAGAGTGTGTTGTTGTGATCGGGGTAAGAAACTTACATCCACAGGTCTGGTCGACCGATATTGTAAGTTGGGTCAGAGGAATTCAGAAAGGGAATCAAAGTGATTAGACGGATGATGCCGGTGACGAGAGTTCTACATAGTCAGCAAATGACGCAAAATCGTGAGGGAATACTCACGCGCAGCCAACCATAAACATCAGCAAAAGGCCTAACTTCTGTATCCCCGGCATGTTCAGCCCCAACACCGTTGGAATGGGTACCAAAATCAACGCAATATCGGAGATGATGTTCAGCACGGCTGTTGCAACATACAGCGCGTATTGATTAACACATGTCCCTGTGACTGATATATCCCAACCTTTCTGGATTGGGTGGCAGCCGAAAATGAAGGCCAAGACGAGCGCAAAGCTGTAGCTACTGACCACAAACGCGATGCCGTACAAAATCCATTGTTGGTACCGTTTTTGACACAAGATGCGGTAGTAAAGGATAATCAAGCTGATTTTTGCAAGCGCCAGAGCGGGAACGTAGATAATGGCTGCGGCGAGAACGACCTAGAGACATTAACTTGGGTTGGATAATGTTTCAAAGAACATACCTTGACATATACGTCATACACTGCAGGTGTCACATTCCAAAAGTGGACTCCCATGCCCCCATGTTTGTATCCATCTGACATGTTAGTAGAGTGATAACCAATGGCAATAGGCACTTACAGATGGCGCATGCCTGGGTGCCCAGAGAGAACACCTGGAGCAAGATTAGTGGAATAGCTTCAATTCCAATCGCTGTGGCAGCCTACCCAAGCAAGGATAATAGACACTGTAAAAGTCAGAAAGACTCTTCCCCATTGAGACGCTAACATACCATCATCCCATCCGAACTTGTGCAGCAAATGTGCTTTGGTATACACTCGCAAGGCTAGGCAGCTAGTGCTGATGATTAAGCCCGCCGAAATCACCGCCATATTTGCCGTATACAGATGGCGATGCGAGTAGTCAAAATCGTACGTCTCCCCCGGGGGAGGGTCCGCCATTGTAGTGATGGCCATCTTCAAGTGGCATTGAAGGCCAACAGCCTCTCATTGAAACCTCACACTGTCATAAATTATAGAAGGGTTCCAGAAGGGAGCTTATACTCTATGAGGTGCCCCTGAGGCATGGAAGGCCTAGTCGACGGCACAGACAGAGTAGAGAGTAAGAATTTGTGTTTCGGTCATTTTTGTTTTTCTTGCTTTTTCTCTTCATGGGAAAGCGTATTGTGTGCCCTTTCCAACAAGGAATGTGCTATCGAAAGCTTATGCACGCTCTCCCAAGACGACAAGGATATGCGCATCCTTCATTAGCAGCGGCAAATTGGACCACATGCCGATACTACGATGATTAACAATAACAACTCCGCCAAGCTTGGGGGACTTTTCCGGTGCTTGGATAGTGTCATCCGTGTGGAGCGGAATAATATGCCATCGCGTCCGGCTGTCGTCCAGGCCAAAGCCTGGCCGTCCAAAGGCCCTAGGGTCGGCGGGTGTAGGAGTGGAAAGGATCGGTGGTGGAGCGCCCTAAGTACGGAGTAGAGGCAAGCGAACGATCAGAGCGTGCTAGTTCAAATCGCGTTGAAACGGCTCGTGCTGGCTTCATAATCGGCTCCACAGCGATGCGGGTTGACTGCGCCGCAATTTCAGAGATGCACTAAGTCCGCGTTAAAAAATGGCGCAGCCTAGCAAGGCGAGATGAGGGTGGAGCATTCGTTGTCTCATTGTCTAATCCTTTTTGGTGCTCTACTTTACAAAGCGCTTCAACTAGTCGTAAAATTCTTGGAGATGCTGCTTAAACCTGGCTGATCTTGAAGCCACCGGGAACCTGTACCTGGAACACTCCATCTGGATCATACTTCTTGGCCACGCGGGAGATGAATTCGACATTATCCTCGCCATAACCCTTGAGAGGGTTTTGCGACTTGTCGGCGTAGTTGAGGTAGATGTACTCATTGTGCGCCCCAATCGACTTGGCGTACTCGTCAACCTCCTCCAGGATCGACTGGCCAAGACTGATGAAAAGATCGTCGTCCCTTGCATCATCCCAAGCGTAGTCGAATAGTATTTCTGCAAACGGATTAGTGCTGCGCTAGGAACAAGGTCGGGTCACATACGGATCAGGTTTTCGTCAAATCGCTCCAAGCCCAGAACATTGCCACCTTTTTCCACGCTGTGCTGAGCGAAAAGCTTAGGCCAGGGCTGGATTATTACATCCATGGCCCAGTAGTCACTCTTGACATGGGCCTTGGCCTTTTCAATGTTGTTGTTGTGAAGG